GCCCAATTTGCCTGTTTTTTAAATGTTTGCCTTCCTCTCCATCCCTTTGCCATGCTCAGCTTAGGCCCCTATGCCTCAGAGGACTGCAGCAAAAGCCTTCTCTCTACATGGCTTACTGTGTCCACTTGCTTTGCTGACACATCCACCCTTTTCCCTTCTACTTATTATCGTAAAACATCTGTTAGCTCTTTATTTAGGATGGCCTCTGCTGAGATTGGCATCCAAGGCCTTCCACAAATATGGTCCCAACAGCTGTATCTCTCTCCCAGGACACCTACCCCCAAGAACTCTGACCTGGCTGCCCTTAAATACTAGGCCCTGAGCATGGGGTTCACAGCCTGGAGAGCCCTCACCTCTATCCTCAGCCTGTTGAACCCAGCATAAATTTTCCTCCCTAAGTACTCGCACTGGACTCTGCTTATACCCCTATTATAACCCATGCCGTTCTCCATCTGGTCCCACAGTTGTGGATCTGTCTCTCCCACTAGACTGGAAGCCCCTTACAGATAAGAACCTGTCTGTCTGACTCTCCCTCTTGTGGTGTCTGGCTCAGGACCCCACATTCAGAGACACTTTGATGTCTACTGAATCAACAGATGTGCTCATCCCTGTATATTCATAAATCTGTTGTTTTGCTATCAAACACCAGAGGGCACTGTTAACATGTTGAGGGAGAAGATTGTAACCTCTTAGACCTGGAAGGTTGAAAATGGCTAATTTGGGGATTACACAGGAATTACTGCTCTTCACTTGTTCTAAACACACTCAAGTTTATTCATGAGGTGTACTCCTGTTGTGTTTAGAGATTGGTATGAGGGTTACTAATGACACTTCCTTCACAGGTTAGATCCTCAGACTGGATTGCCTTCACGGTCTCTCCAGACCCAAAGTGGCTCTTCTAATCCCAGCTGCCCTTTTTCCATCCCCAAAAATGGAGACTGTCAGTGCCAAGGGGAATGGGGTGATATGATTCCGTTCCTATTCTGCCCTGGTCTCCTCCCAGAGGCTGACATCGGGGCCTCTGGGTGGTGGTTTAAAAGCTCTAATGACCTGTGGGCAGGGTGGGAGGGTGTTAAGAGAAACAGCACCTACATTGGCCCTGACCCCAAGGACACTGCATCAGCTCCCTGTGTGTTCCCAGGCTGGCTGCAGGTGAGTTGCAGCATCCTGGGGGCCCAGGTATGAGAAGGCTTCCCAAAGCCAGGGAGCACCGTTCCAGAGCAGTCGGCTATTTGCATGCGTCTCATGCTTTATACACTTTTTCCCCCAAAGGCAACTTGGACATTGGAGGCCATAAATCAAAGAGTTGATGTTTTTCAGAAAACAAAAAACTTGTCCTCCCTTCTCCCGAACAAACCCCCCTCCAGCCCTGGGGTCCCTGAGCAGGGGGACAGTGTCAGGCCCCGGTGGAAGGAGTGAGGCCCAGGCACTCCTTCTCCTTATCTCTGGTGTAAACTTGTTCCTTGACCCTGCCCTGCATGCACGTACCCCTGATAAACAGGAAGGCATTGAGCCATCAGTGTCCATCGCTCTCAGAGCATCTGAGACATGTCTGGGCCATCAAAGCCAGCCCCCAGGAGCATGCTGGAGGGGACTCCAGCCTCACAAAAACAATTTCCCATTGTGTTACCCCCCTTGAAAATCATGGATTTGTAAACAGGCCCTTACACTTTGACAGGTCCTGCCCTAGCTTTGTGGTGGTGTGTTGTTTTTTGTTCCTTGAACAATGTCCTTTCCAGTAGGGCCAGCCGTTCACACCATTGTCTGAGACCCTTGGACTACAGGAAACAGCACCAGATTCTTATCAGCTGGGAGTGGGTGGGCAGGCAGAGTGAACAGATGAGGTCATGTCCATAAAGCAAGTTGCCGGTCTGCCATGTCATTCTACTATGCCTTTATCTGTGAGAACAGAACCCCTCACCCCCTTGTCTTCCTAACAGGCCAATCTGGGCTTTGAGGCCCAGTGCTATCCCTCCATTTGATGGCAGACACCTGGACTCTGCCTCACTTTGGAATCCTTGCCAGCCCACAACTGTCCCCTTGCTCTGGTCCTCCATCTCTGCCCGATGGAATGCTCATGGCAGTGACACATACCTCGCTGGTATAGATTAGGGTACACTCTAGCCCTCTTCCTCCCTGGGGGAAAAAAGTCACAACTGGTCGGTCACCTGAGTCCCCCTCATCAGCAGAGTCCCTGGGTGCAAGCTACTGACTGACTTGCTGGTGGCCTGGTGTGAGGATGAGGGCAGGCATCCATTAGGAGGCCTCCGAGTCCCTGGAGACTATACAGCATTTCCCATCCTTAGTAGAGAATGATTTTTTTTTTAAGGCTGTGTTGAGGAACCAGGAGTTTCCTTAATGAAAATCCAGCATGGAAAGTAAGAGGCTTTATTTAGGACATAGCCCCTAAGCGAGAGGGGCCCAGCAGTGGTACCCACGGCAAAGGTGGCAGGGGCTGGGCAGTGGGAAGCAGGCACAGGGCCACATCGGCCGTTGCCTCATCTCCTGTGCACCAGGGGTGTGGGTGAGTCCGGAAGAGGGGCCAGGGTGGGGGCCCAACAATCCCCGAGCTCCTTATCAGGTATTGTATCCAAACCTAGCCCCATCCACTCATTCTCTCTCCACGCCAGGGCCAAGTTAGTAGTCTCAGAAAACCCTAGGGATTTGATCTTAGTGTGTATTGAAATTTCTCCTTGCAAGAGCCCCTACAGACCAAGACTTGGGTGGGTCCTTAGCTGGGGCGGAAATTGGACTGTTTCTGAGCAACTGTTTCCTAGTTCTAAGAAGGAGATGTGGCTGGCTGGAGAAGCCTCAATTTGCTGGACTGGCAGAAGCATGCAAGCCCACCCGTCTGTAGCTACATTCGGGGCTTCTGCCAGCTGGATAGGTCAGCCTAGCCGGGGGCAGGCCAGGTTCCTGATGGCTGCTGCCTGCCCACTCCTCCAATTGGGAGATTCAAGGGGCGTCTGGGACCTGAGCTCGGCCTAGCTGAGTGAAAGGGAAGCACAGAAACCATTTGAGAAAGTGAAAAGGACTGTTTTCTTCCCTCATTGTACCACCTTCATGCCCCCTACCCTTCCTTAGAAACTAGTCTGTGGGCTGCAGGACAGTCACAGGCTGGGGGTGAATCCTAGCCCTCCAGAGAGGACCATGCTGGACACAGGAAGGGCAGGAAGTAGGCTGGGAAGACAGGCTGAGTGTGGAAGGCTTGGAGCCAGACCTAAGGCCGAGTCCAGACCCAAGGGTCAGCAGCCTGGAGGCCTGGCAGCCTGGCCCTGGGGTGGCAGGTCCTGCTCTGGTGTCAGCCATGGGAAGCCAAGGTGTGACTATTTCATCTGAGAGGTCAGGGCCTCCAGAGTTTACAGGCTTAGAAGGCAGAGATTAATAAATTAATCTCACATGTTAAGAGAAAGAATCTAATCAGCAAATTCCCAAAGTACACTCTTCCAAACATTGGAAACATAAGATGGTACTGCTCTATGGGGAAAAAAGGGATAGAGGACCAAATGTTGTGGAGAATTGTGTAGCACACAGTAGGCATGCACATTAATGGGAGGTCATTGTGGGTTTCTCAGGGATTTCATGAGGCAAGCAGGCAGGCAGTGCACAGCTCTGTGGGGGTAAGGAGGCAGAAATCCCTGGATTTCTTTGACCATTTCTTTGTGGGGTAATTGTTCCACGGGACACCATTTTGGAAAATACTTGGCTAATGGCTTTCTGGAAGCCCCTTTCCAGCTCTAAATGTGTTTGGGAAACCATGAAACAGAGGCCAAAAGACCAGGGGAAGTATGAGACTTAGAGGAAAAAGCTGGCAAAGGAAGATACAGTGAAACCCTTGAGGCAGGAAGTAGGGCTTAGGATGAGAGGAAGGAGGAAGAGTGGGAGGCCAGGGGGGTGTCCAGACCTGAGGCGCCTTCAGGGCATGGGTGGCAGTGACAGTGGGAGCAGAGGCAGTGCACCCTCGGGAGAGCAGCGTGCAAGGGGGGAAGGGGGCTGTGTGTGCAGGTCGCATTTGCACACCCCTCCTAGCCCAGCACTCTGTGCCAAGTGGGTACTCTGATGATGCTCATGAGTTGATGGTGATGGTAGCTTGGGGTGGGCAACAGGGTTTCAGGTTCTATCAGGTCTCAGTGTTTGTGCAGGAACCAGAGGGCAAAAAGATAGAACGGATGACTGACCTGTTAAGCCGCCCTAATCTATAGCATGGATTGAGGGCCCATCCAAGCAAGAGGCTAGTCTGCCTGGTGAGGTGGGGCGATGTCCGTCCCTACCTATTCTCATCTCCCTCCTGCACCAGTGGGGTCTGCTTTTTGTGCAGCGGCATAATGTCACAGGGGAGTGGGAGCCGTCGTCAGAGGCGCCTTTTACAGCACTAGGCCAGCCTCTCGGGGCCTCCCCTCCTCCCCAGAAACTGCAGCCCCCACAGCACAGTATGCCACCACCACCACCCCCATCCCCGCCCCAGGCAAGAGCACAGTGGCCTTAATAAACATCGGTATGTGGTCTGGGATGAAGACAGGCACCAGGCCAAGTGCTGCTGTTACAAATGTCAAGTGTTACTGTGAAAAGGAGCAGGGCTGCCTGCGTGCCCAGCTGCCCTTTGCCAGCATTTTTTTTTTTTCCTGGCTCAAAATCCTCCTGAAGTTCCAAGAAAGTCAGTCTCAGAAGCCCAAGAGGCAGTATTTTCCTAATTTAATGAGCAATCTCAGCTTCATAGACAACGCCCTCTGACTCCTTCCTTCCTTCCTTTGATGCCCGTCCTCCCTTCTGGAAAATACCACCTAGGGTGGTCTTCTCCCTCATGGAATGGATTGGGAAGCCTCCTCGTTTCCAGTTCACACGGATGGTATCAGTCAAGTCAGTACAGAACTACACCGATCCAATAATGATATAATTATGGGATGTGAATATTAACTTCCTTCTTTCCTTGTATGTTCTGTACCATCATCCTCACTAGAGCTCAGGGGCGGTCGTGACAATAAGAATAACAAGAGTAATTAGAGGAAGTGTGCTCTGAAGACAGAGAAACCACAAGGCCCATCTTAGCATAGGAATACAAAAATAGAATTCACACATAGAGGCATTTCCAGGAGTTAATAACACACAGTACCTTGGGGGTGGGGAGGGTGAGGACTTGGTAGAAGCTGTCCATCATTTTTCAAGTGCGGGTGTTGGTCGCTCAGGATTTTGAGCTCCTCTTCCTTCCATTTTCCAGAGTAGCTTCCCCAGAGGAGCCTGACTGGAGCCAGCCATGCCTGGGCCCACCCTACAGGTTTCCCTGGGACAGAGGGGCAGAGCTGGCAGGTAGCTCTGACCCATTTCCTGGGGCTCTGCACTCTGTTCTCACCCTCTTCCATGACCTCTATATTCCCCTCCCCTTTCTTCTCTAGCCCCCCTCTCCCACAGTCTTCCTCCCCTTGTCTTTTACCTGCCGACAGCCCAGCCATAGCAACCCCAGGCCAAGGCTCCCCAAGTGTTGTGAGGTTCATCTCAGTGCTTCTGGTTCACTAACTGCGCAGTCAAAGTGGGAAAGGAGGGCCTACCTCCCAGCTGGGAGTTGTGGAGGGCAGCACAGATAGACTCCAAGGCAGACAGTCCGGGTTTGAGTTCAATGGGGCAGGAAGTCCTGTTTTGCTTTTTGTCTATTTTTGCCTCCTTTCTTCACCTTGGCTTTTGAATGGAGGGAATCTCAAACCTGATGTTCTTGTCTCCATCCTGCCAGTTCTGTGCGTCACTAACTTGTTCATATACAAACTGGGAACAACTTTTCGTGTAGTCCTCCTCCTCCCACCCCTGCTGTGCTCCCCAGCCCGAGGAAGACATTACTGCTGATGGCAAGACACCTCCCTACACACCCAGACAGAATGCGTGCTGACCACCTAAGCCTCAGCCCCAAGAACCAGCAGGACCTAGAGTTCTTAGCAGCTTTCCCCCCCCCTATATTTTTCCCCTAAAAGAAACAAGAGCTTCATGAATGAATCATCCATGACTAACTAACCCTTATTTAGCAGAAACCAAAGGATCCAGGGTGGGAAACATCTGGCCTTCCCCGTGCCTCCTGAACTAATTGATGCCATCTTGAGTCCTTGAGCATGCCTGCTCCAGGCCCCATAGCAATCCTAGGGTCTCCTAACCTCTCCCCATCTCAAAAGCCTCTCAATCCTCTGCCCCCAGGCGCAGCCCCGCCCCTGGTCCTGCCCGCCAGCTGCAGCTCGCTCTCAGAGCTGTCACATTCCCACCCTCCCAGGCTGTGGGCGTGCTTGCATTGCTCTGAAAAAGATGGTCCACTGCTCCCCTCTCCCCGTCTCTAGTGAACAGAGGTGGGGATGACATTCTCCTAGGATCCACCCTCACCCTGCTCACCAGCAGAGAGACCCTGATGGTAGGGAGGATGAATCTCATCAGGAGGGGTGGGCATCCCAGAAACCTGGCTTGACAGTTTAGGGGCCTGGGGAAGGGAAGTCCAGCTATGAAGCCCTCTCGGGTTATGAACAAGGGCCTGAGGCCCAGTCCCCCCACATTGCAGGGAGCTCTGGCAGTCTATGCTCCTGTGACTATGAGATGGAAAAGAGACAGTGGGCAGTGGAAGGGGACCATCAAGATATCAGAGCACAAAGTGGGAGGGGCGGGTCTTGCTGTCCCACCTTCTCAGCACCTCTACTTTCCCTCCCCTACTCAGTCAGTATAGGTCTTCTGAACAGGTACTAATTTAGAGGCAATGCCCATCCTCCTCTGGCTGCCCAGGCACCTCCACAGTTGCACCCACACACCCACACTAAGCGTCAGTCAGAATGGCCATTGTTCTGCAGCTGGGAAAGAACCACCCAGCCCTCTTGCCTCTGGGCACAACCGGAAATGTGCTCTGGGGGCCACCTCTGAGAACAAATAGCAGGCCCATTGGGGTTGCCAGCAGCCAGAGGGTGCTGGCTCCAATTGGAGCTGAGAGCAGAAAGGGGCAGAGGATAGATCGAGTCCCTCCATCAGGTCCCCAGCCTTTCCTGTGGGGACCTTGAAGGGGTTTGGGGGCCAGAGATTCCCATCTCTGAGAGGCGATCAGGCCTGCTGGCTCCCTATGCCCTAGCTGGGTGGGTGGGAGACACCAGGGGCTGATGCTGGCCACCCTGGCAATCCCAACCACACCCGCCTTCGCCCTCTTCTATGTGGCTTCCACCTCCCGGGGCGTCCTGTTGCGCTCGGCCTGCATCCGGCTCTTCACCTTCTTGCCCAGCTCCAGCCCCGCCCAGCTCTTGCCCTTGGCCTGTTTGCCACGGCTCCTGGAGGAGCACCACATGCGCTCACAGTACTCATCCACCCGGGGCAGGTTGGCGAAGCCAATGAGCTGCAGGATGTCCTTGTACCAGGCCTTGGGTGGGGTGGAGGCCAGGCCTCCCTGGGCAGGGCGCTCCTCTGGCCTCAGCCCCCGAGGGCACAGGCTGCTGAGCTGTGTGGCTGCAATCACTTCTAGCGCCAGGCGGACCACTGTCTGAGAGAAGCCATGCTCCAGCGTAGTGCAGGTGTAGATGCCGGCATCGAGGCGGCTAAGCCTGCGGAACAGCAGCCCATGCTCTGTTTGCAGGACCCGCTCATCTGTCTTCACCTGCTGGACACCAGGGAGGATGTGAGGGGGGCATGGAGCAGGGCACACACCATCAGCTTCTCTGCACCCTGCTTTTCCAGATTTGCCACCTCAGGGCCCAGTACTTGGGCGCTTCCCCTCACCCACTCTGTCCTTCCCAGGAGGGACCAGCGGCTTGGCAGGCTCAGCCTCACCTTCTGATTGCAGGCAGGGCCTCACTTTCCCATAACCCAGGGCACGGCTTGCAAAGTGGCCTTTCAAAGATTTGATTGACAGGTTTCTCCCTCCTCAGAGCATTGGGGCACCTATCTTGGCTTTGCAGGGGACGGTGGCTGGCACACATTCCCAGTGAACAGAGAGGATAAGAGGGTATTTATGGGCTTTAATTCAGTGGGGAGCTGTAGCCTCAGCCCTAGGACTAGAACTCCCCTCTATTCTGCATGGCTTGCATTGTTCACTCCCCCACAGTGCAGGGCGCACAGCCCCAGCCAGAGGTGGGCCAAGTGCCCATCATGGTATGGGAGGCAGGAGTGCTGTTCTGACCCAGCTAGTCCCTGGCTCGGCTGCTGTCTGGGCTTTAGTCTGCATGTCTGTACATTTAGGCTGGCCTGCACAGGCAGTTAGTGCCATGTAACTTCATCTCATTGCTCCCCTTGCCCCTGGCCCCTGGGGGAGTCTCAGTGCCAAGCCTAACAGCTGGCCCAAGGCTGGCCTCCCCGAGTTCCCAAGCTGGAAGGAGAGCCCCTCCTGTAATCAACCTTCTCCCTCCCTTTCCCTGCCTGTGGGAGTGCTTGAGAATGGTTCCTCACCCTACCCCACCCACGCCTATCCTCAGGCCCCAGACTGAAGCCATCTCTGGGGTTGACAGACCTTTCCAGATGGGGGAGAAGAGGGTCTGGGGAAACAATTGAACTCCAGGGAAGAAGTGTGGGTGCAGGCAGTCGGGGGTGAGGGGTAAGGGCCAGGGACACAGGCCTGGGGCACAGGAGGACCAAGGAGCCCTGGGGAAAAGATCCCTTCAAAGACGAGCCATATGTGTAAGCATGGGGGACTTCCTGACCAGCCCAGACCCCTTCCCTCTCTTCCATCTCTGCTACCCGCCTGTCAGAGCTCAGCTCAATGCCTTGGGAGCTGGCGGGCTCCCTATCCCTGGATGAGTCCCAGGCATATTTGGCCTGGGCATTCCCAGATGGCAGGGACAGGGGCACCTCCTTCCAGGTACCCCAGGGGCTTAAGACACACTTTTCTTTAGTTGATCTTGGCAGGCTCCCCTCAGAGCCCCTTCCTAGGGCTTAGAGGTTGGGGTTCAGGGAGGGATGTGACATCGGGACATGAACAAACTGAAGGCAGGGTCCTTGCTCACCTGGTCAGGCCCCTCGTCCCCCGGCCTCTGCAAGAACCATCGCACAGCTGCCTGAGGAGACTTGGGCAGGCACTCCAGGAAGGTGCTGTTGTGCTCCATGCCATAGACCGTGGTGGTTGCCAGGAGTCCTGCAGCCTCCTCTGGAGGAAGGTAGAGGTGGGCTCAGCTCAGGAACTATGGGACCCTGGGGCCAGCTGACTTCCACAGCCCAGGAACCCCCACCAATGTGACAGGGACCTAAATGTCTATCAATCCCCAAGCCAGTCACTCTATCCAAAGACCCTATACCCATACACTGATAGGAGCTGCATAGACAGGGAAACTGAGGACTGTTTGTTACAACCTGACCAGCCTGGGGCCCTACTTCACAAGGGTTGAGCCCAGACCACAAGGGTGAGTGAGTAGGGATTCTGTGAGAGCCCAGCTGGTGCTCCCATGCCTGCTGCCACTTACCATCCTGGCTCTGACCCAGACACTGCAGGGCAGGGTTTCCATGCCGGATATCCTGCCGTCGGAACCGGCGCTTGCTGGTACCTGGCCGATAGCGGGTGCAGGAGGTGCCATCCCAGGCACAGTATGGGTCCCGGGCCAGGCAGCACTCTGCACACGCACTGCCATAAGTCTCACACTGATGCAGCTGCAGCCAAGCCACACCCAGCTTCGAGCCCACGTACAGCATTTGCTGGGGAGGGACAGAAGCAGAGACCATGGTGAGCCTGGGCTTCCCAGAAGTCGGTAGGCTTGCAGCCCCTTGAGTTCCCTGAGATCTCTGCCATTTGCAAGCAGTCTCCTAGAGCCTCTTGAGTGCATTCACAGAAACAAAATGTTTACCATCCACACATTATACACCTGTGCTAAGACATGTAGGGGAGGGGGCAGACCCAGGATCTTTTCTCTAAAGGGCTATTCCAGGCCCTCCCTGCTGTTAATCTTTGCCCTCTACCTCATCCTGACTTGCCTCTGACCTTAAAGCAGAGGTGCACTCTGCTTTAAGCAATCCCAGTATCAAAGATAAATGTGGGCCCATAAACTTGGGGAGATGGTATTTGCCATTTGCAAAAGGACACAGCAGACTTGTAAGAAGTGGCTCCCGGGGCCGGCCGAGTGGCTCAGTTTGTTAAGATCTTGCTCAAGAGTGCGCGCTCTGAGCATTAGTGTCACCGGTTCGATTCCCACATGGGCCAGTGAGCTGCGCCTGAGCTGAGCTGCCATTGAGCTGCCAACAGGTGGCAGGATGGCTCAGCTGGTGAGAGCACGTGCTCCTAAAAACAAGGTTGCCTGTTCAAGATGGTGGGCTATGTTCTCCTGCAACTAAAGACTGAACTCAGTACCTTGAGCTGAGCTGCCGCCCGGGTGGTTCAGGGGATAGAGTGCGCGCTCTTAACAAGATTGCCAGTTCAACTCCCACATGGGATGGTGGCTACACCCACCTGCAACTATTGGGTTGTCGGAAAAGTCATGATGTATTTTTTCTGGTTTTCATTGCAAAAACGTGTCAAGACTTTTCCAACAACCCAATAATTGAACACAGCACCTTGAGCTGAGTGGCACAACTGGACTTGGAGCTGAGCTTGCTGGACCCTCACAACTAAGATTGAAGGACAACAACTTGGATGTTCCCCTTCCCCAATTTCCCAACATTGTTCCCCTCCCCCAATTCCCCAATAAAATCTTTAAAAAGATAGAAAAGAAGTGGCTCCCCTGTTTGATTTCAAATCTGCATTTTGTTTTCAAGCACATTTGTTGCCGCACCTGAGAAACCATCCTTGGTGGATCTCCCATTACCTGAACACAACCTCACTTACTCAGGGCTTCCCACTGCCCACTGGTTTAATGCATGGGAATCTCAGCTCCCAGCTGGATGCTCGGCCCTCTTTGCTGGGCCTAATCAGGCAATCCAGGGCCTGCTGCAGGGGCTTTCCAGCAGACAGCAGCCGGGACTAAGGAGGCTTTGGCCCAGGGACGGGGAGGAGGGAGTCCCGGGGAGGCAAGGGACGCAGCTGCTCTTACCCTTTTAACAGAGATCTCCATCTCAGTGATGGCTGTTGGCACCTGGGGAAGGAGCAGGGTCTCAGTGGGGGATGGGGGTAGTGAGAGAGCCCTCCACTGCATCCCGGCTTTCATCCTCCTCCAGCCCCTGGGTGGGAGCCACCTACCTCCCAGTCTGGGTCACTGCATGCCCTGGCAACTAAGGCCAGTCTTTCCCAGAGGTCAGGTTACAAGAAAGGTCCCCTTGCCCTGGCTGGCCTCCAAGCAGGAGGCTTGGCTAAAAGCACAAATCACCAACGTCCCCTCCCACAGCCCTGTTCCCCAGCAACGAAGCAGCTGTCCTAAATCACCCATCCCATGTCTGGAGGCACAACAATCCCCCAGACACACCCCCTGTCTGATTCTACAGAGGGGCCAACGGAACCCCTGGGGCACTTAGGTTCTCAGTCACCCCTTGACTTGAGCCGGTCAGGGCTTTGTCAAGGGGTGCTCACCTTGGCCATCCCTCCCTGGGCCCCCCAACTTTTAGCTCACAGACTGCATCCCTAGGCCCCTCAGTCATACAGAAGCATCAGCAAGGCCTCTGCAGCAGGGAATGTCATCACTTTCCTTCCTCACTGGCTGCAAGGAGCCAGTCTCCCTCCTGTGCTTTGCTCCTGCTTCCCAGTAGCCAGGTCTGGACCCAGGGACTGGGCTTAAGGGGAGCCCCCCCTCACCTTAAACACCTGGAGTTCCTCCAGAACCACCTCCTCAGGTTCAGCCGAGCCCCCAGACTGAAGAGCCATGATCTTGAGCACCGAACCTGAGTCTGGGGCAGGGATGAAGGGGCCGGTAAGAGAAGAGGCATCCCGGACCCCTACACACCTTCCTAGTCGGGCCACTGCGTTCAGTCCACCCACCAGTTCCCAGGAAGATGACATCATAGGTCCCGTCTTCTGCTTCCACGCGGTCCACCACGATCTGTCGCAGCTGCTGGGCCAGGTGGGTTTTGACAAGGACAGGGCGGCCCTGCCGAGGCCGCACTTGCTGGAACATAAGTGGGTGGGCTCGGGCAAACTGTAGCACCTCATCTGGGTAGTCCTTGGTGCTGCCAAAGGGCCGTCCTGGCTGCGCAGTCATCTTGCTGGGGCACTGTGGCAGCAGCAGAAAGAACACCTGGAGCCTCCTGGGGTCACACATTCCCCACCCAGCCTGCTTCCACGCCCCGCTGCTTGGGCACACCAACCTCTGGAAGACCATTCTCATTGTACAAGAGACTCCTGAATGGAGTCAGGGCTCCATGCCACATCTCACCCCGTCCCGCCCCTCTGGAGCCCCAGCTCAGAGCTGCTGGGGGGCTGTGTGCAGACACAATGCTATCCCAAGGTAAAGCCCTCCTGGCATCTGCTCAGCCCTATTCCCTGGCTTGGCCAGACACTTACCACTCCAGGGCGGGGGAAGGGCACCTTGCCCCCATAGGGTCCCCACTGGTGCTGGGGACCATCTTGGTGGGCAAAGGGCCCCCTGAAGACTTCCCAGATATCCGCCATGTGATACAAGCAGACTGCGAAGCCCTGGAACACAGCACTGTCGAGGGCAGACAGGGACAGTCAGGCCAGGGTGGCCATCATAGGCAGGAAGGGGGCAGCCTGGTCTATGGGCAGGGCAGAGGGCAACGGTGCCTGTAGTCAGCAGAAACCAAAAAACAAGGACACCCAGGCAAAGGTAAAGGGAGGGAGACAGAAAATACAGCCACCAGAGTCACCGAGTCAGGGACAGAGACGGGGACCCATGGCAGGCCAGAACATGAAGGCAGAGGCTCAACAGAGGAGGCCAGGAGACAGAGATCAGGCCGTGGTGGGGGGTAAGGGGAGGCCAGTGTGCCCACCTGACCGTGCTGAAAAGCGCGTACACCTCGAGGCTCTTGCCTGTCTTGGGCCACAGCAGGAACACATCCTCTGGGGGACAGAAAGCCACTGCCAATGTCCCCCACTCACTGGCTCTGATCCCTCCTCACTCCTGCACCCAGGCCTGCCCCTGGCCATGCCCTTACCTAGCTGGTCAAAGTGGGTCTCGGCACCACCAGGGCCGGGCACCGAGCAGACCAGCCTGGCCTTGAGAAAGGTGCTCCATTTGTTCACCAGCACGCGCTGGCCGCCAGCGTCATTCTGTGAGGTAGGGGGTCAGAGTCAGCCTTGGGCCCTGAAGGACCGGCCCCTGCTCCTGCTTCTCCACCCTCACCCTTTGGGGGAGAGGCACGGACATGAACTTCACACCCTCGCCTCAGTTTCTCTACTGCTGAGGGTGGGGACAGGCTGGGGATGAGGGGTGCGGCAAGGACTTGAACCTCACAGTCCCTTCACAGCACTCACCACACAGACACGGCCCACGCGGCTGACAGTGACATGGCCTGGGCCACCATCGGGCGAGGGGACAGTCTCCGAGAAGAAGAAGTACACCTTGTCATCATTCTGGTCAGAGTTGTCAGCGATCCGGGCGGCCATCACAAATCTGGGGTCTGCAGAGGTGTGGCATGGTGAAGCTGGTTGGGGAGCCTCACAGGGGAGAATGGGGGGAACCCAATGCAGAGGAGAAGAGGGACAGGGGCCCCACTGGAGGCTGCAGTCCGAGGGGTTAGAGTGGGGATGGGCTGCCCCTCCAGTCTCCACGCCAATGTCAGCTTTCCCACCTCCTACCAATGCTGGGGCAGACCCCGGCCAGCCTTGCCTTGAGGAGACCCCTGGGCTCACCATGCAGGAGGTTCTGGTCAGAGTCAGAACGCAAGGCTGGCCGGGGCCCCCCACTCCGGAAGATCATGGCCTCGCGCCCCAGGAAGTCAGCAGTGAGGCCTGTGTACAGCTCCCCGCCTGAGGTAGGGTGGGGACAGAGTCAGGGGCGGAGGACCCAGTTACTATTCTTTCCCAAAGACATTGGCAGGCTCCCATCCTCCCCGTGGCCACCCATGCCTGGGCATCACCCACCTACAAAGGTGCTGGCGAAGGGACGGCTGGGCTCGTGTGGACATCTCCCCCGCCCACTTTCCACACTGCTGGGCTCCAGGCGGAGCACATGCTGGGGGGGGGGGGAAGGAGGGGTGTCACCTGGGAAAGCAGCACCGGCCCCTCCCCCCCCAGGCAATGGTCATCATATGCAGCTGGGGAGCGGGGTCGGGGAGGGGTGGAAGGCGCCCTCAGTTCAGGGCCTTGCCAATGGGGTCAGCTCCCTGGCACAAAGGCACTTTTCAAGGCCCCTGAAACCTCTGCTCTGACCCAGGCTCAATCGGGAGCATTCAGGCAGACTGGAGGAATGTCACTGCTTCCCAATCCCTTGTGGGGCTCGCCCTAGGCTCACCTCCCCACGATGCCCAACTGCCATGAGGGCACAGGTGGGCTGGAAGGCCCCAGTGCCACAAGTCAGCAGGTGGGTCCGGTTGTACGGTTGCAGCACCCGCACGAAGTTGGCGCACTCCATCTAGGGGGCAGAGGGGCAGAAAATGAGGGGCTGCTCACCATTTCTTTGGGCCCCAAGGCTCAGCCCTGCCTGGCTGATCAGCTCTGGGGGTCTAGGGTAACATTCTTCATAGACCTTCAAGAGTCCCCGGGATCTCTTTCAAATGCCCCCAGCATAGGCACCCAGGGGAGTGGCCATAGGCTATTTTGGGGTGTTGGTCAGGGTTGGGGGCAGTCACTGCAAACAGCACTCACCAAAGGGTCTCTCCCCTTTTGAACACATTCCTCCTTCTGTCCTGGCTGCGGTGGCCACAGGACCTGAAACACAGCCTGGCTGACCCCTGACCTCACAGCCCCCCAAATGGAGTTGCCCAGCTCTCAGACAGACCCTCTCCCCAGTCAGTCCCTCTCACCTCCCGGGGATCCGGCCAAGCCTGGTCTAGCCGCAGGGAGTAGATGGTATCTCGACCCCCCAGAAAGAGGCGATCCCGGTACTCATCCAGGTACATAGCTCGAAGGCCCAGGGAGCCCCGGGGGCCCAGGAAGATGGCAGAGCGGTTGGCAGACAGGAGGTCTACAAGGGATCAAGGGAGGGGCTCAGGGCCTGCTGCTCAGCCAAGGTTTGGAGGTGGAGGGTCCCAGCTGTGCATCCACCCCCCACACACTCACATCTGGAAAATGTTTCCATCCACGGGGCAGCTGGAGGGCTTCCGGGAAATGGCTCCTGGGGGTGGGTGGGACAGGGGCTCTGAGCCCCCACCCAGCCCAGCCCACCCAGGGGCTGCCTCCTGCCCCTCCATGCCTCAGCCCGTTGATCTTTCAGTTAACATTTCCTTCCCATTGACCCATCTATGCTCTACTCTGCCCCCAGGGAAGATGGTCCCCGCTGGCAGAACCTATGGCAACAAGCTGGGCAAAGTGCAGGAAGAGCCTGAGATGGAGGGAGGGTGAGTGAGTCTGGGCAGCGTGCAGGTGGACAAGCAGGGGAGAGCGTTCCCAGCAGAGGGAGCACCTGGCAAAGGCCTGGGTATGGGAGAGGCCAGGTAGGGGCAGGCGGAGCTCCAGGCTCTAGCCCAGGGATGTGGCTAAAGAGGATTTTCTCCTCCATAGACCTTGCCTTCCTAGGCCCTAGGGATGGGGGACGGCTGTCTGGGGATACTAGTCCTAGGAGTCAAGGATGGAATAGGTCCTTGGGATTGGGTTAGGGAGGTGGAGGTAATGGATGGGCAAAGGGGCAGGAAGCAAGATGTGGTGAGAAGGGGTGTTGGCCACCTTGGAAAGGCCGAGTATTCTATGCCTGCCCAAGGGGTCATCCTTGGCCCAGCACCCACTCTATCCCCAAATTCATCAACAGCCTCTTCCAGGAAGCCCTCCATGGCTGACAGTACTTTGGAGATTTGCCCTATTTGGGCTTTTTCTTATAACCTGACTCCCCACCCCCCCAAAACCAAAGCTCCAAGAACAGAACTATATTTTTTTCCCAGACCCCATTTTCAGACTCTCCAGAGCAAGCCTGGGTCCCCCCTCCTCGGACTGGGGTTCCCAGGGAAAGGTGATCAGCCCTCTGGCTTCTCCAAGGAGAAGAATCTGTGGTGAGCCTGTGTCTCAGGGACCTTTTCCCATGTACCATCTCTACAGATTCAGAGGAGGCCTGCGCCAGCTGTAGCACAGTATATCAGGTTAGGTCTGCAGAGGAACCTCCTGGGCTGCACTGAATAATGAGGAGGAAAGGCCAGCTTTGGGAAGTGGGCTGCAAGAGGCAGGTGGGGGCAGGGCTGTGGGGACAGGGTGAGGGGCCCCACTGCAGGGCGGGGAGGAGAGGGGCAGGATTCTGCTTCCACACTGTTTGCCCTGGGCAAGGAGCCCTGGCTGAGTGCAGCCCTGTCTGCCCATCCCCATATCTCTGCCCATCTGTACTGAGGTCTCTCAGGGTCTCCATCTGTCTCTCTCCTTTTCTCAGCAGCCCCTGTGCGTCTCTGTCTCTCCTACCTCCACCTTAGCCATACCTCCCAGGCAGGACCTGTCTCCCTCCCCCTACCTCTTCCTGAGATCCTGCCTCTGGCAGCATTGAGCACCATCCCAGGGAATGACCGTGAAGTCCTTCCCACGGGCTATGCAGGGAGTGACTGCATCCCTCCAGCTGGCAGAACAGACTGCCCGGGGCTGGCTGGGACCCCACTGCTGGGTATGCTGTAGGGTCCAGGGCTCCCACGGACATGCACACGAACCCGGGCGCACCCACCCGTACCTCGGTAGGAGAGCCGCAGGCGGGGCACGCTGGGACCAGGACTGGGGCTGCCCCCGCAGAGCAGGAGGCCCCCCAGGAGGCAGCAGATGGCCCAGGCCATGGGGACCATGCTGGGGGACCAAGGGCACCAGGCTGCCAGAGAAGCCAACCTCTGGTCCCGCCGCTGGTTGTAGTTTATTCTGTTGCCGCCAGTCCTGCTACTTATAAGGCAGTGGCTCCACCCCGTCCAGGGCCAGGAAGGCGGAGGAGGAGGAGGGAGGGCCAAGGGCCCTCGCTGTCCACCTGCAGCTGCTCCCTCTTTCCCGACTGGCCCGGTTGATGCTTCTGTGTCAGATTGGCTGGTTTCACAGCTCACTGTTGGGAAGACTGGTTCCCAGCTGGGTGTGAGTAGTTGACACAAAAATGTCCACAAACCCAAGTCCCCAGGCTCTAGCAAAATGTCAAGGGGGGAGATAACCTGAAAGGGAGGTCAGAAGTCAGAGATCAGAGGTTGATGGGCTGGGTGGGGGCCTGGCTGGACTCTCCTTTTGTCCCTGACCCTCTAATGCCCATGATAGAGACCCCCACAAACTGACTCTAGGTCTAGGTCCCTGATACCAGGAGGGTTCAGCCCCCTGAAACCTTGGCCTGGCTCCTCAGCTCCCCTGGGAGGGCCCAAGTTACCTGGGGTGAGGTCATTCCAGCCCAAGGGGCTCCCTGTTTTGGGTGGAGGCTTGAGGTCTGCCACACTTCACAGACCTGGGATTGGCAAGAAATGAATGTCTGGCCTCCGGGTCCCATCCCAGCTCACTGGGCAGGGGACCCTCCCATTATCCCCCGTCTCTCAACCATCCAGTCCTTCCAGAGACCCAGGGCGAAAAGTGTCACTCAGTGAGTGGTGGGTTCTTCCCAGAGTCCCCCTCTGCCCTATAGGTCCGATACCTATGATCCCTCCAAAGTGAGGGTGCTCATACCCCCCATTCCCGCTGCCTTGAGATTGGATCCAGGGGGCAAGAAAGCCACAGAAGAGGGACGAGGAGAAGAGACTAAGGGGCTGAACTGAGTTGAGTGAGGGAATCTCCCCATGCCCCATCGCACAGCAGCCCCTGTCCCCATCCCCCCACAGCCGCCACTCCACCCCACCTCCGATCCTTACACTTAGAATCTGAGGCCCTGGGAGCTGAGATTTCGACTTTGAGCCAGAATTGGAATGCCCAGGATTCTAAAAACTCCCAGATGGACCAGACTGAGCGCTCAGATGGTAGTCAGGAAACTTGGGGGCATCACAGAGGGAAGGACCTAGCCCAGGCCACACAGGCTAAGAACAGGCCCTATCAACCCTGCCTCTTCTGGGATTCTCGTTTGCTTCTGGGGTTGCTGAGGGGAAACCTCCTCCCCTCTCCATCTCAACTCTGGAAGGGAAAAGGTCAGCCCCTTGAGTCAGTATGAGAAAGACCCAGGGACCTTGAACCCTGTCTCCGTGTCCCCACCTCCCCCTAGTTCCTCTGGGGAGGGGGCGGGGCCTGACCTGGAATTGGGTAAGGGGCTATTCAGGGAGGCCAATGACTGGCTTTAGATCACCCGCCTCTGACTCCCCTGGAGAACTTTGGCCAAGACCCTTCCTTCTCTGAGCCTCCGTCTCCTATCAGGGCCAGGGACCAGCCACCTTGGGTATAACAGGCGGTATAAACTGGTGAGGGGTGCTTGTGCAGGGT